GTGATTTTAGTGGGAAAGCTCGATCTTTTATCAATCCCTAATGAAACATTTTCCACCTTATTTATGTATTCATAGACTCTGTACTTTGGAAAGACTTGTAATTTTAAACGGGTTCTAGGAAATTTAAAACCAGTCCTAGCTTGATAGCTCAGACCCCTCTTACGAGAGAGGCTAACTCTTGCAAAGGCCCTGCCCCCAGCAAATGTGGCAAATGTCATCCAATCAGAAAACACCCCAAATCTGCGGCCTTCAGCTTTATGCGCGTCTGAAAGCACATCCCAGGGCTTGCTTGCGGTGGTGTCTCCTCCGTTTATTGTTCAATTTGTTTTGTTTTGCAAAAAGTTGTTCTGCCAGGAGTAAAAACTCTTTGTTTTTATTTAAATAGACTTAAAGAGACTTGAAATCCCTTTTGTTCCCAACAGTGCTTTCAAAACATCTCTTGCGCAGTGTGTGTGCAAACTTCAAGCCATCTTGTCTCAAGGCAGAAAACAAGGCACTCCGTTTGATGGCCAGAGAATATGTTCTCTCGGCCCAGCCCACACGAGGGAGAAAGACGGGGCTTTCTCCTCCTTAGAGAGGCGCAGTCCTGCCTTGTCCTGTAGGGCCTCTGTGCATGAATGAGTGGCCCACAAAAGGCCACAGATGAACCAGGAGTTGGAGAGCGAGTTTGATGAAGCCTTGGGGGGGGGGGGCACATTAGGTAAGTCCCTGAGCGGAACCCCACAGGGCGGTTTATTCTTCCTCACTGGGGCTCGCGTTACTCAGCTACTGACAACATGATCATTTCAGTAGTGTGGATGGTGCTGGCTGTCAATAACAACAGTTGAGTCACTGTCTTCCCTGTCCCAGAGGCAAGGGCTAAAGGCAGTTCGGTGTCAATGACGACGGGAAGAAATAATGTGGTTGGTAAAGGGTCCCCGGGATTTGAAGTGCTGAGAAAGCTATGAAAAGGTCCTGGGATGACCTTTCTTGGAAATGTATTCGAAAAATGCCAGCAGCTGAGCCTGCGGGGCGGGGGGTCTCCCTCACAGTCTTATCTGGAGGCAGAGGGATGAATCATAGGCCCCCCACGTTTTCCCCTCACCCTGTGCCGGGTAAGACACAACTCGATGGCAGTGGGTTTGGGTTTTTGAGAGCTATGTACAGCTCTGCCCTCAAGGAGCAACATTTTCTCCTGGAGAAACTGATTGCCTTCCAACACTTGGGATGTTAGTGGAGTTACGCCCACGGGAGTTACGGAACTGTGTTGTCAAGAACTCCTCCAACCTTCTCAGTTGGATTCATGGAATCAAAGGCAAGCAAACAAAAGACTCACCTGGTTGCCTCCACTCTTGGGATTTACAAACACAAGCAGGGGTTTCATCAGAGGAGAAGAGATGGGTTTGACCACAAACGGACGCCCCTTGTTTTCCGGCTGAAAGAAGAGAGGCCGTGGTTGGGAGAATACTCATATGTCACGCTTAAAAAGTGTCCTGCATGGTTAGGAAATGAGCTGCTCCCCACAGGTCACCCGCCACTCCTCTGGAGAAAGCCAAGGCTTCCCATTCCCATGGTGAGTTGTGGTCTTGGAAG